GTAACTGCAGAGGCCTCCCAGTTGGCAGACTGAGGCACGGTTAAAATGGCGTTAACGGTATTGAAAAGAATGTGGGGATTGTGGCTGTTTGAGGCGATGATTTGGGAGAAATATTTGTTTTTTTCTGATTTAACAGTGGCCTGGTACTCTTTGTAACATGATTTTAGGATAATAAAAGAAACGTGAAGTTTGTCCTTCTTCCATTTACGTTCGGCTTTCCTGCATCGACGTTTGGCTGCTCGAGTGATCTCATTCATCCAAGGGTGTGGAGTGCGCTTTGGATGCCTAATTTTTAATGGTGCAACTAGGTCAAGCACCTTAGCACAGGTCTCTTGGTGTGCAGTGAGTAGCTCATGGGTGTTCATGGAAGAGGATTCACAGACTGAGAGAGAGTTTTTAGTAAAAGCAGATGAAAAGAGCGCAGCAGTGGAAGGGTTAAATATTCGACAAGGCCTGGCTGGAGGGGGAGGGGGTTTGGACTCGTTGACAAAAGAAGTGTTGAAAGAAATGGGTTTGTGGTCAGAGAAACTGCATCCCCAATTTCTAACTCAGAAACAGATAAACCATAGGTTAACACTAAATCCAGTGGCCATGCTGGTGAGTTGGTCCTGCAACATTCTGTACAAAGTTCAGAGACTGGATCAGATCTAGAAAGTCCTGAGTCAGCGGCTTTTCAGGGCAACAAGACATGTATATTGAAATCTCCAAGAATCAAAACCCAATCATATCTGAGCAGAATCCAAGTTAAAAAGTCAGAGAGTTCAGCCATGAAGTCCTTGTTATATTTGGGTGGCCTGTATAACACAGCATAGGATTTGAACGGCCCACCTCAAAACACAGCAGTTCGAAGCTCAAAAAATTAGCTGGTATCTGTACCAGTTTGCAATTCCATCGTTTTTTGAAAATAGTTAATAATCCACCACCTTTGCCTGACGTTCTCGATGTTCTGTAAGTTCTTCTCTGAGAAAAGCTGCTCACTCAGGTAACGTAGTGCCAAGCATGCAGCGCACGAGTGTGGAGCAGAGTGGGGTGGGGTTGTGTGGGACCCACAGACTTTACCTTAAGGGTGCACTAAGGTTTTATCAGTCTCATATGGATGGTTACAGCTGCTTTTTCAATGTCAACCCCAAATGGATTAATGAGCAATTTTGATATTTAATTTCTGTGCTTCAAAGATAAACTCGGTGCTGGAGATGACCACCCCTTTGGCTACACACATGCAACCACCTGAAGAGACGCGCTTTAAACTACTCATTGGTTTGCATCGCCCTAATGAGTTTCCAAGTATTTTCTTAGGTGTCATTTTATTTATTTATTTATTTGAGAATTATTAAAACCTGCCATGCATCAGTTTAAGTGTTTGTAACAGTGATGCGTGGCTTAATCTCCCTCTCAGAGCTGCTCAGAGCTGTGATCTGACCTGTAGTACTGCAGAGCTCCACCAGGGGGCAGCAAACCACTACTTTCTGATGTTTTCTTTGTAAAACTTGCACTGGTGATTTCACAATGTGCTCACAATATTGCCAAAAATGCACATTTTAAATGTTTTTTTATTTGATTTGTGAGCTTATTTGATTAAATTATTTTCTTTTTAACCAAAGACCAGCAGGTCCCAGTTCTATTCCTAGGCTATTTGCTCCCTGAAGCCCTAACAAATCTTAACTAACCTGACTGATTTTCTGCTCACTCGGGTCATACCTTACTACTTAATACTGAGTTTGGATAATCAGGTTGATTGTGGACCACTCCCACTCAACAACAAGCATCACATGAGCTCACTTTTGACAGTCCCTCTGTCAAGATCCTGCTCACAAAGGAAATGTAGGGACTTTTCCTTTCAAAATAGATTATCATGTTCGCCATAATGGGGTGGGGTGGGAGTGGGGGTGGGGTATTTTTCGGGGATGCAAAAACTTCCCAGAGCCAGCATTTTTGAACGTGTTAGTTTGAATTAAAACAATAATTTGAAGTCAATTAAAAATTATACAGAAGCCCATTATCAGCTCAAATGAACAGTGTTCCTGAACGAGAGGCACACAGACTATTCTTCTTATACAAAATATGAACGAGCCATCATGACACCACTAATTGCATCTAATTTCTAATTAGATCTATAATACAGAGTAATTAAAATGGAGCCTAAAGTTCTCAAAATGAAAAAGTTGAAAGACTGTCTCTGGGTTGGGAGGTAAGGCCTCAGTCAGAGGAGGAGTTTTGTTCACAAGTAATCATTGGATAGAGCAGGAGATGAAGCTGAAGCTGTTAGACCTAACCAGGATAATCAATGTAAACGGAAAAAAATCAGTGTAATGCCACTTTAATTGGTGATATGTGACTTATCTGTGCTGCTGATTTCTTCCCTTTATGCTGCTATTCACTTTCACACACATCTGCTCACTCATGTTCAGGCTGCTGTTTAATATACTGTATTGTTTTACATTATTTAACTAAGATCCTTATTTACTGTTTCTTTTCATACTTTATATTTTTGCTATTTTGGGGTGTAACTGGGACTTTGTGTACACAATGCCATTCCACTTCATGTACCACATGTGATGTGAATGACAATAAAGAACCTTGAACCTTGAGATGGATCACCAGGTCAGGGCTTCACCTGCAGAAATGAGGGTGTTGTTCCTGCCTGAAGGAGAAGGAGCTGAACCAAAAGGAAAAGCTCTCAGTTTACTGGTTTATCTATGTTCCAGCCCTCACAGATTATCTATTCATGATCCAAACCTTTTGGATCATGATAGACGAAAAGAGATTCTCCATACAAGCAGCTGAAATGGATGGATGGACTGATGGATGGATGGATGAATGGATGGATGGATGGACAGACAGATGGATGGATCATGGATGGATGGATGTATCATGGATGGATGGAT